CGGAGCGATGTCTGAGTTTTGTTTGATGGAGGGGCAATTCTGGCGGTACCAATTAAGTCATAGGCATGGTGGGGTCCGGTGCCGGCTCTTTTGGGCCTGTTTCTGTACGCCCAGGACATGGACCGACCACACAATCAAGCAGCGTCCAGGAGCTTTAACTGTCGAGATGCAACATGTTAGCGGCGGACCCCAAGTCCTCTTTTGCGAACTTCTCCTCATCAACAGTTCGCCCTAGCCACGGGAGCCCAGATCCGTCGTCCAGCAGCGCTCCCCGAAACTCGGAATTCGGAGCCAACTTGCCTGACCCTTGCAGCCCACCGCGTTAGCATTAACCGCACGCCAAACGCATGCCGACAGATTACCGTTACAGTGGGTAGCTCCCCCTGTAACAGATCACCGCGCTCGGACTTTAACGACCAACTTATCGTGCCATGCAGCTCTGATTTTTTTTTCGCGACACTTTCACTCCCCTTCTACCCTCCTTGACGGCGGTAGCAACATGAGAACGCCCCAATGCATCCCCTCCGTGCAAGGCAGTTAGTCTGCGGCGCACTCAGAGTGCGCTCCGTGCACCCTTTATTCAGATCAATCCCGAGAACCAGCCTACGACAGGCCCCAACCAACCTTGCATCCCGACGATGGTACGCTTCGCTCGACCTGCCCGCCCTCGACAAGAAATGGCGTCAAAGATGGAACGAGGCTAGGGGTGATGGCCCGGTTGCCAATACACCATCGACCGCCGACCCAGACACCGAATATGTGTTGCCCATGTTCCCATACCCATCCGGTACCCTGCATCTGGGCCATTTCCGGGTGTACACCATCACCGACGTTGTCGCTCGATACCGCATGCTGAAGGGCGACAAGGTCTTCCTGCCCATGGGCTGGGATGCCTTTGGGCTGCCGGCCGAAAATGCGGCCATGGAAAGAGGAATTGCTCCCAATGTCTGGACCGAGAGCAACATTGCCAAAATGAAGGAGCAACTCGAACAAATGAACGGAAGTTGGACCTGGGACAGAGTATGTGGAGAATACTCTTCAATTAACTTCAGAAAAATGGCCTGACGCTCGATCTCGTAGGAATTGACGACTTCCGACCCCGAATTCTACAAACACACGCAGAGGCTGTTCCTCATGCTCCACGAACGAGGACTGGCATATCAGACCGAGGCCGAAGTAAACTATGACCCGGTCGATAAGACGGTGCTGGCAAATGAGCAGGTAGATTCTAACGGCTTGTCTTGGCGATCTGGCGCCAAGGTAGAGAAACGGAAATTAACGCAGTGGTTTTTCAAAATATCCGAATTTCGGGAAGCGTTGCTCAAGGACCTGGACACACTTGCTGCGGGCGAGGCATGGCCGGAACGTGTCCTGGTGCAGCAAAAGAACTGGCTGGGAAAATCCAAGGGCGCACTGATCAAATTTCCTGTCATGGCCATTGGCCATGACATCAAGTCTGCAATCGAAGTGTTTACCACGAGGCCAGATACTCTGTTCGGCGCGCAGTACATTGCGCTCGCCTCTTCGCACCCTATCGTGGAGCAACTGGCGAAAGCGGACCCCGAGCTATGCGCCTTTCTTGATACGATCCCAGGACTCCCTGCGGACTCTAAAGTTGGTTACCTTTTGCCAGGCTTGCGGGCGGTGAACCCACTCGCATATCATGAGGATACGCCCTCTGCTACCAAGGCATCAATGCCAATCTATGTCGCCCCATATGTACTAGGAGACTACGGAGAAGGGGCTGTTATGGGCGTACCTGGCCACGACGTTCGAGATAATGCCTTCTGGAAACATCACCACTTTGACCAGCCCGTGCGAATGGTACTTGCGGCATCAGAGGATGAATCGACCGAACTCCTTTTCAACGAGCCATTCGTAAACCATGGAGTGATGACCGAACACAGCGGGCCGTTCCGTGGAAAATCCTCTGTGGAGGCAGGCGAGATGATGGTTAAGATGCTGGAGCAAGCTAACTTGGCTGAAGCTGTCGAGAAATGGAGACTACGGGATTGGCTGATCAGCCGCCAGAGATACTGGGGCACGCCGATCCCCATTATTCACTGTGATTCTTGCGGTGCAGTCCCAGTTCCTGAAGAGGACCTACCAGTGACGCTGCCCGAGGTGGATGACCACTGGGCAGATGGGAAGACGGGCAATGCGCTGGACGCTTCACCGGGCTTTGTCAACACCACATGCCCCAAGTGCCAAGGCGCGGCGCGACGGGACACCGATACGATGGATACCTTTGTCGATTCTAGCTGGTATTATGCACGCTACGCAGATCCGCATAACGCCAAGGAACTGTTCTCACCAGAGGCTGGGAGAACGCTCCCCATACACACCTATCTAGGTGGCATCGAACATGCCATCCTGCATTTGTTGTATGCACGGTTCATCTTCAAGTTCTTGGCAACAACACCAATGCTGCCCCAATTCTCCGAGGAGGACGGTGCGGTTGCGGAACCATTCCAGAGACTAATCACTCAAGGCATGGTCCATGGCAAGACGTATGTCGACCCCAGCAATGGGAAGTTCCTTAAGCCGTCTGAAGTGGACCTTTCCGACCCCCAGAACCCCAAGGTCGCTGCCACTGGAGAGCTGGCGACAGTGAGCTTCGAGAAAATGTCCAAGTCCAAGTACAATGGGGTTGACCCTACTGAATTCATATCGAAGTACGGGGCCGACTCAGCACGCGCGCATATGCTGTTTCAAGCACCTGTTGGGGATGTTCTTAACTGGGATGGGAATAAAATTGTAGGCGTGACCAGGTGGTTGCAGAGAGTACATGACTACATCTCCAAGGTAGCAGAGACAACTGTCCCCGAACAAACTAGCACAGTGGTTGAGTATCTCTCGGAGAGGCATGCGAAGCTTGATAGCATGAGCAAAACCGAGCTTGCCGAGTGGGATGCGGATACCGCGGTATGGCGAGCGGTGCAGCACACGATCGGATCGGCTACAAAGTCCTTTGAGGAAATCTACTCACTGAACACAGTCGTATCCGATCTCATGACTCTGACAAATACACTAGGTCATCACAAGGAAGCAACAGGCGCGGTCAAGCGGGAGGCGTCAAGTGTTCTCGTTCGTATACTTGCCCCGATCGCGCCAGCCTTTGCTGAGGAGTGTTGGAGCGTGTTGCACCCCGAATCTCGGACTAGCGTTTTCGCTCGCGGCATCTTCCCCGTCCAGGACGAGAGCAGCCACTTGCTGCAGCCAAGAAAACAGCCGTGCGCTGTGCAGATCAATGGCAAAGTGAGAGGAGTAGTAGAGATTGCCCCTCCTCCCGAAGGCCTCGAGAAGGACGTCCTTCAGAAGTGGATGGTTGACGCGATCCTGGAGACCAACGAGGGCCAAGCGCGGTTTGGCCAGGAGTCGTCATACAACCTGCGACTCGCGAAGAGGGCGATCGCGGTGAAGGGTGGGAAGACGATCAACTTTGTGTTGTAGCAATGATGTATTATTTGCAGGGAGCAGGAGTTGGATGCCCACAAGGCCAACACACATGAAAAGGATGAGAGGGCGGTGGCGCCCAATGATGATGAATGTATACTAGAATACTACTGTTCACTGTGCCCGGATAGATTCATACACGAAGCAGATGACTTGACTTTTGGCGCTCATCGAAAAGGGGCCGGGGGAAAGGAGGAAACGAATAGGAGCTATTGGTGTGAGTCTGAGACTGGTCTGGTGAATCAGAGGAGATAACCTCCGAAATAAACAAGCAATCAAGCAGATCAAAACAAACTAAGGCGTAGGAAGGTGTGAGGGCTGGCACACCGACTTACAATGCTTTGACCTTTTGAGCGGCTAGTCGCAGCCATAACCAATATTTCAATGTCAGCAACCATTCGGGAAGGCGGGGTTAGGGAGATCGCGAAGCCACGAGCTAAGGTAAGCCGGATGAATCTTGTCATGCACATCATTTCTACAGATCCTGGATATCATACATCTGGCAGCATGGCACGGACGGCGATGGATCAACTTGCCGTCTGAGAGGAGGTCCGCGCGTGTTAAGTGGTCTAGACGCGGCCGCTGTGAGAAACCAAGCGCAATGGCGGCACATTGGGCCCCTCTTCGGTGATTGTGTGTAAGCCGGCAGTAGCCAGCGGGGTTAAGTCATCGTCTGGTCAGGAAATCTCCGGGATGGAAGATGCCTCGGTGGGCTCTAGGAGAACGCGCTGGGTGCAACTGCGCTCCTCAGGACGACCATCACGGCCTCGTGGCTTCACTCTGGAGGCAGGTGAGTGTGTGGTGATAGGCAGCCCATCAGATGGTTCAGACCACCATGTGGTTCCATCCGCGGCCTGATTCTTGTTAGTGACATGGGTCGGCCGACGGATGGATTCGGATTCGATCACTCATTTCCCCCCAACAAGCCCCATCGCCCATCCGCATGGCATTGGCGGCCGATGGCTTTTGCCTGGGCCTAGCTCTAGCGGGTGAGCAGTCTGCTATTGATGGCTTTAGAGGCCCAGCAGCCCAGGAAAGATGGCTGCCAACGTGGCTGCCAGACCGAGCAGACGATGTCAGGTCTCTTGGGCAGCCTCCGGTGGGCTCCTCCTCCTCTCTCTGCATCCATCATCCCCAATCCTGTTTTAAAGGCCTGTCGCTGCGCTCTTTCGCCCAGGCCCTACCCTTCGTTTGCCCGTGGGCTTGCTTCCGGTTGGATCGGTTTTTTTTCCTTCTCTCCCAACAGGTGATGTGATGGTGTGTCGGTGCCAATACGACTTTGCTCATCATTTGCATCATTCTTGACCGCTGCCAGTCAACCAGAGACAAGGAGCGACTCACAACCAGTGTCCCTCGCTTCCCCTCCTCGCTCTATGTCCGCAGGCATCTCGGTATTCGCATCTGCCTCGTCCTTCCCGGCGCACCCGCAAGCCCACCAAGTAAAACAGGTCAAAAAACCCCCCTCGCAGCGACTTCACCCCAAGACCGAGGGGTAATCCAACCAACCAATCAACCAGGCTCGCTGCCAGTCCAAACCCACGACAATGTCTCAACCACACCCCGAGCCGACGTCACCAAGGCCGGCGCCGGCGCCAGCAGCCAAGAAGACGACGCCGTCCTCCAACATCCCATGGCTCTACCGGCTGCCGCTGCTCTACATCGAGCCCCTGTGCGCGCTCAACGGCGCATACCTGCTGTACCTCAAGCCCCGCAACTTCCTCGAGGTCGTCTCCCCCTACCACGAGAAGCACTTCCCGACCGCCGTGTCGTCGTCGTCGGTCGTCGCCAACGCGTCCAAGATCCTCAAGGCGGCGACCTCGTCCTCCAAGGCGGCGCCGCCCGTGCCGAGCCTGTCCTCGGTCCGCGTCCTGACCGACATGCTGGCGGGCATGAACCTCCTCTTCGCCTTCAACCTCGCCGTCACCCTCCGCGTGGCGGGCAACGACCACCGGCTGTGGCGGTGCATCTGCTCGGGCATGCTCCTCTCCGACGCCATGCACGTCTACGCCACCGTGAGGGAGTTTGGCTGGCCCGCCGTGCTCGACTATAACTCGTGGCGGACCATCGACTGGCTCAACTTTGGCATCATGGGCTGCATGACCGTCGTCCGGCTCGGCGTCGTCGCCGGCGTCGGGCTTGGGGGCGGCAAGAAGGGCGGCAGCAGCAGCAAGAAGAGCGCCGTTAGCAAGAAGAGCACCATCAGCAAGGACACCGCCGCCGCCGCCACCACCAACACCACCACCCACACGCACACCCCCCGCCGCGCCCGCCGCAGCAGCACCAGCAGCGCCGTCACCGCTGTCAGTGAGGCACCCAGCGAAGCACCCAGCGAGAAGAACGCTGCCGCTGCTGTTGCCGGTTCTAGCAGTACCACAAAGAAGGCCAAGAGTGCCAAGACCGAGAAAAAGAAGACGTCCAGTCGCACAAAGAAGGCCGAGTCGGTGACTGGGAAGCAATAGCCAGGGACACAGGCCTGGTCTGAGTCCCGCTTCTCCGTGGGACGGTGATGCCCCGTTATGAACTTTTTATCGTTTTATGTTTTTTTAGTTATCAAAATAAGGTTGAGTGTATATAGCAAAAAAATAAAAAGAAACTTTGCTGAAACAGATCAACGATTGGCTCTCCTTCTCTTTTCCTACCTACCTAATTTCTAGTCTTTCTTGGTCAGACTTGAGACTTAAAGGTGCTTTATGCGATCATTACGAAATATGCAGTCATATCTCTCCAAGACACCCAGAGGCGGAATTGGGATGCGTGATTGGCTGACTTGTTTGCAGCCCCCAAATAATCACCATGTACCCGGTGGCCACTGAGTTACTATCTAGCTATTAGAAAATATTACAGTTCTACTCTAGATTCTATCCCTTCTCCTCGCCATCTCAGTCTATCCTCCTCTCGCCGCCCTCGCCCAGCAGCCGGCGCTCCTCGTCCTCGGTGGCATTCGCCGGCCGCTCTGGGTAGAGCACGTAGTGCTGCCAGATGAAGACGCCGTCGTAGGCCATGCTCGCGTTGCCGAGCACGAACTTGACCGGGTTGCCCGTGATGCCGCTCCAGTCGTGCTGGAGGTAGCTGTCGATCCCCTGCTGTGCGACGCTCAGGACCCCGCCCAGCACGTCCAGGAGGATCTGCCAGATGCTCCACCCCTTTGTGCTCTTGTTGCGGTAGTTGGCGACCATCTGCGGCGTGTACTTGACGAGCGTGACGACGACCTTGACGTACCCGACGGCGTAGACGACGTCGAGCTCGCACCAGTCGACGGCCGGGTCGCCGGTGCGCGGGGCCAGGAGGACGACGAGGACGGTGACGACGACGCCGGCCACGCAGCCGGCGCTGATGCCCAGGATGGGCCGGCTAGGGCTGGCGCCGCGGCTGGGCGCGAACCCCCACAGCGACCTGGCGAAGAAGTACTGCGAGGTGACGACGAGGCTGAGGGCGAGGCCGTGGAGGGCGAAGACGATGTCGTTGAGCTGGACGGTCGGGGTCAGGCCGCCGTGGCGGGCGGCGTACTGCGCCCGGACGACGGGGGAGTAGTAGAAGACGGCGTTGGAGGCAAAGTACGCCGTGAAGCCTGTGCCGGTCGCGCGACGAGGAGTCACGGCTTGTCAGTCCTTGTTTATCCTCCCATATTGGAGCAGCTCCGTTCAGATATGAATCATGATGGCATGACGGTGGGGAATTTGGGCTTTCCGGGTCGGGAACAAACAGGTATTAAGGGACAGGCTCGGGGAAGTTGCGGGAAAAGCCGCGACCACGCTCATGCGCAGGACGAAGCACAGGCAACATGACAGAAATAAATGAAGAGAATAACAGGATATGAATTATTTATGGAGAAGGGACAGGGGGACTATCGGGGATGAGGCGCGTACCGAAGCAGTTGAGGAACGGAAAGGCGACGGTGGTGCCGGAGGTAGACCGGCGGCGCCAGTTGAGCAGCGCTTGCGGGTAGAAAGAGGCGGACCAGGCGACGAAGTAGATCCAGCCAAAGGCGGCGGAGACGAAGGGGAGAAAGCCACCGGCCATGGTGGGTGGCTGCACGAAAGCCGGTGTTGTCGAGATACGGAGGAGGCAGAGGACGGGGAGGAAGAGAAGTGCCTCAGACAGGGGAGAGAACTCGGAGGCAGGAGGAAGCAACTGGAAGGGTGGGTAAAACGCGCGTGATGCTGCTGGCGATGCAATGCGAAACGTAGCAAGCGACTACATCACCTGCACGGCAAGAGGATTCCATGTACCTACCGATGGATGATGTGTGGGAAGGGCTGGGACGAGGTGGGGATGCGTCACGTTGTCCGCGATAAAAAGGCGGCGATTGCGAGTTTCACGAGATAATCACCTAATCTTACCGATCAAAGGTCGAGAGAGGCCTAAGCGCCGGCCTTTGCACCGGCGCAGGCGCTGGAATTGAGACGGCGATAGAGCGCATGTTGGGCGATAATCCATATCGATAATCGATAGCAACCACCTTCCTGCAGGTAATCAATTAATTTGGTCGAGCATCACCATCTTCGAGTCCACGGCGGGGCCGTAGAAGCTTCTAAAGTGACATTCGCTCTCGGGTCGGGACTGGCCTGGACTGGACAAGGATCTCGCCGTCTGCGATGCGCTGCCACAGCGATACAGACCATTTGCTGCGCTGCGATACGACCTGCCGGTGCATTTCAGCTAGCCACGGGCTTCGTTCGGCATCTCGACAGAGGCTGTGCCCACCACGGCCATTCGGCGGCGCCTCCGTGTCCGCAACTGACTGGGCGGCTGCAGGGCGCATCACGAACCGAACCACCAGGCCAGGGTTGCCGATCAAGCCAGATTCGCGTGTACATGACACCCTCGTCCCCCCTGCTTCGGGTCGAATTAAGCGAGACGATGGCATGAGATGGTGGCGTGGGTGGACGGGATGTGATGCGATGGGTGCCAATAAGCCAGACCATCAACATCAACAACAAATCAACATCGCCCACAACCACCATCGCCATCACCATCGCAGCAGCAGAGGCTAGCTGAAAAGCAACGCTGACAGGATCCGTTTTCGCAAGCTCAATAGTCGATCAGCTTCCCGGCAGGCTTAGGCTCAGGCTCAGGCTCAGAAAAAAACAGCAGCCCAAAACATGATTCCCGGTTCTTTTTCTACTCTTGAATTTAATCACACCACCAACGAGCCTGCCCATGGATCTGACTGCACGGACACTCAGATGGACGGACTGGGCCGTCACCGCCTCCTGATTGAGCCTCAGCAGCCCGTCTGCACACACCCCCCCTGAAATGCCTGCCACCCATCAGGCCTATTCTGGTGCATGCCAGTGCCAGTGTTTTTGATAGACTTGCAGTTTCGGGTCCTGTCATATGCCGGAAATAATCCCCTTCCGGTTCATCCCACCCAGTAGGGCCCCTTCAGCTAGGTTCATGCATGCGTCGCATCAACGACCACCCTTATCTCACCATGATGGTCTGACTCGCCGTCATCTAACTATTCGTCCTCTCAGGCACACCGTCCCAAACCTTGTATTCCAAAGGGGGTGGAGGGGGGGCGTGCGATGACTCTTCCATGGCGCCAATGCGATACCATCCCGGACCGCAACCGCACCATCATCCCATGCCGATACCATACCATATCGATGTGCTGGTCGATAAGCATGGACTCTCAGATGTTTGATTGGAAAATTCTCATCACGAAATCACCCGATGGCTTACATTCAAGAATATAAATATATAATGCGCCCGTGCCTCAGGGGCTGGTATCGCCATTATGTTTTGAATACCAAACCAAATACATTATACACACCATCAGTTACCTGACCAACACTTCATCTTATCACTTGCCTCTTCACCATACCTGGTTATACCGGACTGGCATATATACTCACGCCTACAAATCACATCTACATACACCTACACATATACACACACACCATGGATACGAGTAATATCACCGACCTGATGCCGTCATCACCAGTGTCATCGGAGCCACCTGCTGGCCTCCTTACCGTTCCTCTGGAGATTCGTCTCCAAATCTACTCCTACCTCCTCGAGGTCCCAGAGTTCTCCCCATACACTCTCCCCTCGAAAAAGGCCCCCGTAGCCGGTTCTCTGCTACGGGCCAACCGCCAGATCAATTGGGAGGCCACGCCCTTCCTGTACGCCCACAACACCTTTGTTGCCCACCCATCTCTCCTAGCCACATTCCCGCGCCTGCGTCCCAACCTCAGGCCCGTCTCGGATCCCTACGCCATCTCTCTCATCCACCGCTTCCACCTCACTGTGCACCTGGACAGCGATCTGCCTTATGACGCCAAGGCTCTCACCGAGTCCTTCACCGGCGCCGAGGAGCTGACCCTCCACCTCGTCCAGTTTGGCTTCTGCGGCGTCGGCTATGCGAACCTCCGCCAATTCGAGGGGATCCGCGGCGTCAAGCGTGTTGTCATCGAGGGCAGCACGACAGGGTTCGAGGACTACATCGAGTGGCTCCGGAAAACCATGATGAGCGAGCCGGACGCGCCGATAGAGGAGTTCAAACACGAGCACGTAACCATAGTCGATCGTCTGGCCCGCGGCTACATGGCCTAATCTTCCTCGCCGAGATTCCTCCACCCGCCACCTTTTGAGGCCAGGGCTTCATCTCTCAGCCCTCCTCTTGGCTCCTTCTTCTTTATTCGCTTCTTTGTGTTTTGTGTTTTGAGTTTGGAACGAAAGGGTTTTTCCTAATATCTAGAAGCCGGCAATCAGCTTGGATCTAGAAACGTCTTACAATGCATATTTGGTTTTTGGGCGAAGCGTTGTGATTATTACAACCGGAGTGCAGAGCACCCGAGGGATTGGGCAAAAAAAAAAGTTGGATAGAAATTGTTTTGATTCCCAGCGCGGCCAAAACAACCACGCATGCATTTTTCCGGGCAGATATATATTCCTCTAATTCTAGGCACTCTGAAGTTTCTATAGAGTTTAGAGAATAAACTACATACAATTAATACACAAAACTTGCAATCTACTCTTCAGTTCATCGAAGTCAATATTATTACATGACCCCCTACCAATTTAACAGAGGCTCCTTGTTCCCGTCACCGTTTGGCGGGTTTGCTCGGCCCGAGGCCGGCTCTCTCGGTGGAGGAGGTCGCGACCAAAGAAGCGACAAACTCGGGCGGCAGCGGCAGTGGGGGGAAGAGGAGCGGGCTGGTTCCATATATTAAGGAAATCAGCCCAACCCACCTCGCCTCAATCACCTCACTGCTACGACATGACATTCTTCATACACCTTCTCACCAGATGGGCGAGTGGCCCAGATGACTGCTGACACAAATATCACAGGGACGACGGCCCACATCATGAGACGAAACAAATGGTAAGAAACATAATAAATGACAAAAAAGGCAAGTTACCAACGCCGTCTCTGATGCAGCTCAAGCTCAGATACATCATCAGACCACCAAATGCTTATATGTCCTTCTAGGGATACATCTCTCTCTTTCCACCCCTTCCACCTTCCTCTGTCTTTGTCTCTATCTCCCCTTTCCGCTCTCCCCGCCCCCGCAATTTGAAACCTCGTCTAAAGGCGCCAATCCGACCGACCAAACCATCTAGATACCCAGGCGGGGGGGCTAAGAGACCAAAGGGGGGTCTATTAACGTTAGGATAACAAAAGGAAATGGTAGCTTTTTTGTGTTTTACTCTCCACCGCTTCACGATGCCTCGGAGGGCTCACAGAGACCCCCGGGCGTGCTGGTGGACAGGTGTTGGGGGGATCCCAACCGGGCTTATTGACCGCCACCGCCCATGATTCGGGGCAGCGTCCGCCATCCCTGCTCGTTGGGGAGCTTGGGACGGCCAAAGTCCTGGTCGAGGTCCAGGATGACCTTGAGGGCATTGCGGGTACGAGCGAACGGGCTGGTGTCCAGGGCGCCCTTGATGTGTGCCACGGCGCCAGCAACGCCGCCCTGGGCGGGGAGCTCGGCCTTCTTGCTGCCAGGCATGGGGAGCAGAGTTTGGAGGACTTCGTAGGCCGCCAGGGTGAAACCGAACTGGGGCGACGATCGGAAGATACGGGCAGGGCCACCCTTGAAGAAGGCCGTGAAGCCCTCCTCCTTCCAGATGGTCTTGGCGGCGTGTCGCAGACCGTTGTACTGGGCATCACCCTTGCGGGCCTCGACCTGCAGACGGGTCTTGATGACGTCGAACGGCGTCGTCAGGTAGGCGGCGGGCATACCCGCGATGGCACCGGCAGTCAGGAGCTGCAGGACACCCAGCTTGTGGGTTGCCGACTCACCGAAGAAGTCCTTCTTCAGGTGGCTGTAGGTGGGGAAGTAGATGGCTGAGAAGGGCACATCACGGAGAAGACAGGCGGAAGCACCCTTGTACAGGCCCATGAGACCCAGGTTGCGGACAATCCACATGGCCGATCGCTTGGGCGCCGCGCTGCCGGATTTAGCAACCTCGCCCTGAACTTGAAGACGAATCTTGACGATCTCGAGGGGGTTCGTGAAAACCTGGAGAGAGAAGGGAGGTCAGTTTGGTCGTGATTCTTGATACACACTGCGCTTGACGCAAGGCGAAGTTAGGATCCGAGAGGAAAGGGGAGAACTTACAACTTGGCAACCACCGGCGGTACCACCAGAAATAACTTCACTGAACCAGTGGATGGAGCCATCTTTCTTGGTAAAGAAGTTACGGGCCAGATCATTGACGGTCAGCTTGATGGCCTTCTCAGGGGCGACACCAACAAGCTGGGGCAAGACACCGGAGTACAGGCCTCGGACACCCTCGTTGCGGACGACCTTCTGGAAGCAGTCGATGGAGTTCT